TGTGGCTGTCAGGGCAGGAAGCTGGCGCTGCTCCCACCTCCCTGCATCCCTCTGCGCCTGCAGACATTGCGCTGGGGGTGGTGAGTCGCGGGCCCTGGGGAGGGAGGGACCCTTGCCGCTTGGGCTCAGGCTTGGGCTGCCCCGGGGCAGAGGGAGCAGGGGGGTGTCCCTGCACATCCTGTACCGCCTTGTAGAGTCCCCACATGTCCCCCTGGCTGCTGAGCCCAGGTGCGCAGGTGTGGGAGCATCCTTGAGGCTGCCTAGGTGGCAGGGAGGACACGGCGGGGTCAGGCAGCACCCCTTGACCCCTGCACCCCCAGACTGCGGCTGGACTGGACAGGCCGCGTGAGTGCCCGCTCCTGCTGGCCCACTGGGTAATTAAAAAGTTCATGATCTGGCCCCACATTCAAAAAGGTTGGACACCCCTGTGCTAGGCTTTCCCCTTTCCCAGACTTCCATTTTTTTATTTGGATGCAGATGAGTCTTCCTCCCCTGTGAATAATTCCTGTGCTAGTCTCTCTCCAAGGTAGCAGGAGATTGAAATTGTGGTGGTACCTGGCAGTTTCATTGTTGCCCACCAGAGGTTCTGAAATTTACCTTTGCCCTTAGGGGATAAGACATTCTTCCCCCAATTAAAGCTGTAAGTCATGGGAAAAAAATGTTTGCTTATCTCTAGAATTTTTTCCAGGGAAAGTTTTCTGTTCCTCTTGTTACTTTAATCAATGGCTTGAGCTAACAGTTATGATATACTACAATAATACGTTTCTGAATGAAATCTGAGTCATTGTGTCCAAAAAAAAAGCTTCTGGAAGAATGATTAGTCACTAAGCATTAAGTCCTAAATTAAAAATAAGGTAATTTCCAGCAGCACATTTCTCGGGTGTTCTCTTAAGCATCCAAAACTATGGTCATCCTTTGTCCATTAGCTTAGGGGTTGTCAACTGTGGATATTTGGAGAGATGCTAGTGGGTACGCATGGGTGGGCAGGTACGGAGCACCGCCACCCACCACCCCGTGCCACCAGCTCCCAGGAGCAGGGCCAGGAGGAGGCGAGGGTAGCGGCTCCCTTCTGAGGGCTGCACAAGTGCCGTCTGGCCAGCCAGATATTGATGTTGTTTTACTATGAAAGTGATTTCGTTCACAGAATTTCAGAACTACCTCACTCCTTTCCCAAACACTGTAGAAACCCTACAGAACACGCACTGTAATATCACAATCTAGATTAGTGATCTCCAACCCATGGCTCGCACATTACCTATGAGACCTTTTACTTTTGCTGGCGGCCACAGGAAAGTAAAGCTGAGGTTCACAGAAAGAGCAAAGTGGTAGGTTACCAGCAGCACAATTTTGGCTCAGGATTGCTCTCTATGGATAAGTGAAGGTTGGGGCATGCACTCCTAGAGAATATAATATAATAATAGAGGCATAAAGGACATTTCATTTGTGCATACAATCCAAGTTAGTTTGTACTGTTAATAATAATTCATTATATAACTATTTCACTGATTTCTCTAAATATCACAGGGAAATGCTGGAACTCTCAATATTTGAATTGAGAAACACAGTAATGGAGCTGGAAAAACAATTTGGCAGTGTTGAGGATGAAGGTAAGTAAATTATAGCAAACTCCTGTTAAAACAGTAGAAAACACAGGCAGTGACCTGCTCAGTGTGCTGCCAACCAAATGCCGAGGGACAGACTCAGCACTATAAATTCTTATATACAGATTTAGGCTTTGCCACTTAAAACAGAATACTCTTCAAATAGAGCTAACATGTTTTAGTGTTGTTTTAGCATTTAACATTGGAAAAATAGCAATAAAGGCTGTGGAAATCCTTTAGTCACTTATTTTGTACTTTTTTCATATATTACTAATGGAATTCATATAAAACATTTGTTAGAGTTCCTTGGTGAATCTAAATCTGGAGCCCATTGAAGGCAGTGAGATTTCACAGTAGGATTTCACCTGTTATCTTTTTCTCATTCTTTTGCATGTAAAAGGATATTTTTTTGAAGAAAGTTGGAGTTTATTTGAAGAAGCAAGGTTCTAATATCAGAATCATCAATTACATTTGGAATGAAATATAATAATCCTGTGTTTCTTTGAAGGCAATGAATGGAAAACTAGATATGAAACACAAGTTGAACTAAATGGACAGCTAGGAAGGCAAATTGGTCTCCTTCAGAAAAAGATGGAACATATTCATGGAAATCCAACAGGTAGAAATAGGCATTCATAGATTTTCTCCCTCTAGTTTTCATCATTCTATATTAAATGATATCACTGAGTTACATATTTTGTTTGTTTGTAGATAGATTGTCCTCCATTCGCTTCTTTGATCAAATGCCTGTGGTGAGTACAGTGACATTTAATTGCACAAGATTCTAGAAAAGCACTGCAACTAAAATATATATAATAATGTTAACCAGTGCCACTCAGAAAAAAACAGTGACCTGCTCCATAATCTGTAACTGTCACCTGCTTTAGTTTTTTTAATTGTCACCTGTGCAGCTGTTTCAAAACTTGAGGCATTTAACAAAATGGGTAAATAGAATCCTAGAAAAGTAGGGCTGGAAGGGACCTCCAGAGGTCAGTTTAGTGCAACCCTCTGCCTGAGGCAGGATCATCCCTATTCAAAACATCTTATACAATTCATAATATAAACTCTACGTAAAACATCTGTTAACCCTGACACAACACAGACCTAACACCCTAACCTGCCACAGGGGAACCATGGCAGCCAAGGTCCTACTTCTATGAAATGTTGTCAATATATGCTTAACAAATCTTGGGTAGAGGGCCATGCCCCCTACACTGTAGAGGAAGGTAACTCCCCTCCCCCCCAGTCCATACCAGTCTGACCATGGAGTAAAATTCCTTCCTGATTCCAAATATGGGGATTGGTCTAACCGGGAGGTGGTGGGGAGGGGAGCACTCTAGTTAGGAACCTCTGGCTTTGTTCCCAGCAGGAACATTAGCATACCCCAGTCAAAGTCCCCATCCTTGGTTGTAGCCAACACCAAGTGCCTCTGAGGGAGGCTTAAAAACACCCTGATACATGTAGTAGAAAAAGGAGGTGGAGGCAACCAGTAAAGCATAGAAGCATGGGAAATACCCACAGCAGAACATAGGTATAACTATGCCCAGATCATCCCCAGTAACTGTCCAGCTTCTTGAACACCTCCAGTGATGGAGAGTCCACAACTTCCCTATTACAAAGGTATAATTTGTAAGTGTATTGGTCTGAGGACATAGGCATACAAGGTTCTTTGGGTAAATCTGATATCTTTTATTAGACCAACTCAAATAGTTGGAATAGCTTGCTAAGAAGATTTTTTCCAACTATTTGAGTTGGTCTAATAAAAGGTATCAGATTTACCCAAAGAACCTTGTATGCCTATGTCCTCAGACCAATACACTTACAAATTATACTCTGTTCCAACAGTGAAGAAGCTTTTCTGGATATCCAGTCTAAACTTATTTTGCTGCAACTTCAAGCCATTGTTCCATGTCTTCCTCTCTGCAGCAAGAGAGAAAAGGAGATTTCTTTCTTTATGGCAGCCCTTCAGGTGTTTGAAGACTGCTGTCATGTCCCCTCTTAAGCATCTTTCCAAGCTGAATGTGCCTCGCTCCTTCAGCCTCTCCTCATATGACTTGCTTCCTAAGCTCTTTATAATTTTTATCGCCCATCTCTTCACCCTCTTTGCCTTCTCCACATCCATTTTAAAATGCAGAACTCAAAACTGCATACAGTACTCCAGATAAGGCCTAAGCAGTGTCAAGTAGAGGCACCGCCTGTGTCCTGCACCTGATGCTTCTATTGATGCAGCCCAAAACTGCATTCGCCTTTTGTGTGGCTGCATCACACTGCAGGCTCATATTTAGTCTGTGATCTACAAAGACTCCCAAATTCTTTTCCATAGCACTGCCATCCAGTTAAGTATAACCCGTTTTATATTTGTATTTTTTATGTATTCCTCCTGAGGTGTAGCACCTTGCATTTGTGCGCATTGAACTTCATCCTGTTAGCTCTAGCCCAGTTTTCCAATCTGTCAAGATCTTTCTGAATTGTGCTCGTATCCTCCAACCTGTTTGCAGTCCTTCCCAGTTCTGTGTCATCTGTAGACTTGCTCAAGAAGCTTTCTATGTTAGCATCCAAATCAGTAATAAACACACTGAACAGCACCAGGCCCAGGACAGACCTTTGTGGGACTCCACTCAAAACCTCCTGCCATTCTGACATGGACCTGTTAATAATTACCCTTTGTTTATGGCCATTGGGTCAGTTATCTGTCCACCTTATAATAGTTTTGTCTTGCCCATATTTCTCCAATTTGTTTATGAGAAGGTTATGCAGGCCCTTGTCAAAAGCATTGCTGAAGTCGAGATGCACTATATCCACAGCATTCCCTTCTTCCACCCAATGCAGGGAATGCTTTGTCAAAGGAGGAGATCAGGTTTGTTTGACACACTCTGTTTTTCATAAATTCATTCTGGCTGCTTGCAGTCAACTTTTTCTCCAGATGCTTGCAAATGGCCCTCCTTAGGATATACTTCAGTAATTTACCAGGTATTGAGGTGAGGATAACTTCCCCAGATCATACTTTTCGCTTTTTTAAAGAGGGGCACTACACTGCTTCTTTTCCAGTCCTCTGGTACCTGGCCTGTTTCTCACATCTTAATAAAGATCATTGCCAAGGGCTCTGAGATCTCCTCTGCCAGTTTTGTTAGGACCATGGGATTAAGTTAATCCAATCCTGCTGACTTGAATTCATTCAGACCCAACAAAAGCTCTCTGACCATCTCTTTTGTCATCTCTTCCCCAAGCTTAGCTCCAGATTATCCTTATTAAGTGTCTGGCTGCAGATCAGTTTTTTTGAGGAAGACTGAGGCAAAGTAGCTGTTGAGTAGATTCACCTTTGCATCTTCTGTGAAGAGTTCTCTCTGGCTTGTTAACAGAGGACCCACAGCTTGCTTGCTCCTTCTCTTCTGGCTAACATACTTAAAGAACCTCTTCTTGTTGTCCTTGACCCCCTTTGGCAGGTGCAGTTCATTCTTTGTCTTGTCTTCCTGATTTTGTCTCTGCAAATTCTTGCTATTTCTTGGTTGCATAAGTCTGTCCTCCAACTCAGCACATTTCAAGCTGGAATTCAGTGTAAGAATTAACATTGTGGATATAGAAGATGGAGAGAATGAAGAGACAAAGGGACAAATTACCTTTATGTCATATTACTGTTTTTATTTCTTAATACTATTTGATAGGACCTGCAAGCCCAGTTATTGATCAGGACTTTGTTGTGCTGTATGCTGTACAAACACAGGACAAAAAGATTCAAAGGATAAATTGATGTCTGAAAATGGATGCTTTCCAAACAACCAAGCAGATGTTTGGGGAAAGGCTCTGTATTGCACTATATAGCATTACAAGTGAATGGTCTTGATTTCACCAATGTGGCAATGGAAAATACTTAAGCATTCAGTTACCAGGGCAATAGACATGATAAGGGCCTTAACTGAACATAATTTACTCCAATGAGATCTCTAATGATTTATAAGGAAGCACAGGAATTTCTGTTCCCAGAAACTGGAAGAATTGTTACAGAAGGCTAGTACCTTTTGCCCTGTAGAAGTAGAATCATGCTGAGGAATTATGCCTTGCTGTGAAAAACATATAGACCTTTCATATTTAAACAAAGAGGTATTTAATCTCAGGTTCTCATTCATACCTGAGATCTGTCTTTCTTTTTGTTTCCAGAAATGTGGGTGGTGTTTTACCCTTCAGAGAGCACAACAGTGTGGAACCAGTAATACAAATATTTACATCTTTACCATTAAAGATTAAAAAAATCATTTTTGCATGTTGAGATTGGATAGAACGTCTTGCAGATAGAACACTCCTACAGTGAAGAATGCTTAGTGAATAATGTCTTTTGTGTACAGGTGAATAATACACATGCTGCACTGTAATTCATTCAATACTTATGAGGAAACTGAAATTCAGTCTTTTTAAAAGCTAGTCTGGTGTGAATTTTATTTATTTTTCAGTAAACCTGCCAGCATTTATTCACATATTTTTCATTAAGCAATATTGTGTGAAACATATAGATTGTCTCCTAATTATCATTTCCCCATAATAGCTGAGAGAAATCGTAATCTTTTTTTCCTTTTCTCCTTATAGTTACTGCAAGAAGCCATTCCCAAATAGAGGCTTTAGTATGCAAATACAGGGAGGCATACTGTAGAATCAGTTCAGGGGAGCACACTTCTGATAGCATTGCCTTAGCAACGCTCTAGTTAAGATTAGCTGAGGAACCAGAGTTTCTATTATAAACCACTGTGCTCAAGATTACCCAGCAACATGACTGAGGAGATTCTGAAATTAAGGTCCAGGCATTTGCTTTGCAAAATAGTGACAACATTGGGCACTGTCTTGAGCCCCACCACATGAGCACTTTGGGGTTTAAGGTTTGATGGTTATACCACCCATTGCCTGTGACAATGTCACATTGTAGAAGAAGCTGGCAGCACAAAAATGATAGGACATCTGGTCTTTAGGAAGACAGATAGGTGAGAATTTTTGTAATACATGTTAAAGGCTTCTGTGAGCTTGTCCACAGGGGACATCAACATTTTACTAAGGCAGTAGAAAAGTTGACAGTTCCCTTAGCTAGTGACCTTTAATTGAAACAGATGCATTTCTTGGCATAAGTCACAAATAGGGGTGCTTGAAAAATGGGTCTGAGTCAATTTAGGGAATGTTGTTGGTATGGACAACAGTTTGTCATCTGGACTGATGTTGTTTGTCCTCAAGCCCTATCCCTCACTCTGTCTTCCTCACAGGTTCTCTTGGCTATTCTTGACTCGCATAACATGCCTTAGATGTCTCTAGACGTTTTGTTGATCTGCCTTTTCCCTCTTCATTACCACCCAGGTCTGGACAGTTCTTTCTGGTGTCTTCAGACTCACCAAGTGACTGTTTCTCTCATCTTTTTTTGTTTTCAGTGGGATAGGGTGCACTTGCCTTTTGCCAGTAAAGCAATAAGACCAGGGGGAAAGCCTGCAAGCAGCTTGCTTTATTGCCAGAAACTAGGTTTTATGGATCTTCTGTTTCCTAGTTTGTGACTGGACAGAAAATCTGGGGGTTCCCTATCTACTGTTTTGGGATTAATTATATGCACTTCTGCTGAAGAATCTGCAAGACTTCAGGGGCAGTAGGTGATACCAGATGGCCCTGAACTTTCAAATGGAGTTGTCCTGTTACCAAGGTCTGTGTCAGCTTCTAGTCGAAACAAACTTAATAAGCAGCCTGACTCACAATGTTCACACTCTTTTTCAATATAGATTTTAAATGA